CCGACCCACATCGTGAAGCAATAACTTCAATTAAATGTTTCTGGTAACTGTTGATCAGTCCATTCCTCCGTACAAGACAGCTTCAACTCTGGGATGTTGGTGGATTTCCTCACATTAGCTGCTGCTTCAGGTCTTTCCACAACATCTGGATTGGATTAAGTACAGGACTTTGACTTGGTCATTCCAAAACATGAACTTTATTCTTCTTGAAACATTCTTTGGTAGAACAACTTGTGTGCTTAGAGTCATCATCTTGCTGCATGACCCACATTCTCTTGAGATTCAGTTCATGGACAGATGTTCTGACATTTTACTGTAAAATTCCATCAATGATGGCAAGTCATCCTGGTCCAGATGCAGCAAAACAGGCAAAAACCATGATACAACCACCACACCATGTTTCACAGATGGGATAAGGTTCTTATACAGGAATGCAGTTTTCCTTTTTCCAAACATAATGCTGTATGTCACATCGAAAAATTGCCATAATCACAAAATAGAAACGTGTTAAAAGTTATTTTTAATTATTTTAGAACGTCTATGTTCAGTTGTTACAGTGTAACTGATCAAGAAGTACATTTCTGCTCTGTGCTGCAGAGGTGTGTGAAGGGTTAACCCTTTGATGTCTTGCTGCACTTCTCTACAATTTAAATTTAAATACTGTAACATTTTAAATAAACAATCCATGCTGCATGTGATTGTTTATTTAAAACTTACATTATTTAAATTATCCTGATGCATGCTCAATAATCCAGGTAGAAAAATCTAAAAAAGTTCAATCTGGTCCTCTGGACATAAAAAAACAAACAAACAAAAAAATTGTAGAAATGTTTCGTCTTTCATCCGAAACTGAAGAAGTTTTTCAGATGAAAGACGAAATGTTTCTATAATTTTTTTGTTTTGAATGTCCAGAGGACCAGATTTAACTTTTTTTTAGATTAAATTTAAATTGTTTATTTAAGGAGGGAGATTGGGAGTAACAGGTGATGAGTGAGTGTGATTACAGCATGGCACATGTCATTAAAGTTTACTGAACTTGAATTGAACTTGAACTACTGTATCCCTACTTGGCGGTTTTTCACTTATCGCGGTGGGGCAGGGTACAGAACCCTCGCAACACACGAGGGACTACTGTAATGTTTCAGGTCCTGTTTATGCAGAAAACTAGAAAATTCTAAAGGCTTCACAAACATTCAAACACCACTATATCCACAGTACTCCTGACTTGGTGCCACTACCCATAATTTATAACGGAAGCCGGTATGTTACTTCCACCTGCGCCGTTGTTTACATTTGCAGGGTTACACACTCGCTGCTGATTTATACTTTTTGACACCGCAGTGTCCTTTACATGGCATAAATGGCAATGCATTGGAGGTGGATACTGTACATTGTAAGGATGTTTTAAAAAGTGGCGAGGACAAATCAGTAACAGTGCCTCACCCATCACTTCTCACGGACCGGGTGAGAAGTCTTGTTTACCTTTTTTTTTCCGAAGGCGTTGATGGAGAGGAATTGTGTAATTATAAGAGCACTGAGGCATATAATTACCTGCACAGCAACAAAATCGATCACTTATCTAGATATCAGAATGTTTAGATCACTGAAACAAACACTGGACTGGCCGAAGGCTGTGATCAGGGGGACATGCAGCTGTCATCTTGCTGCCTTCTACACATGTTTACATGTGGAAGGCATGCATTGTTAAAGCTTTGTGTAGCAGCGCAGATGGAATGCGGGGACAGCAAAGAATCTTCAACCCAAACATCTGAGGCAGAAAAAAAAAACAGATGCCACAAAGCAGAGCAGCAGTACAATATGAACTCACAGGCTGCAGTGACACAAAATGCAGAAATCCAGAAACGTTAATCCAGAAATGCAGCAATATCAAATTTATTAGATGAAGAGCTGCTGCTGCTGCAGAAAACTGGAAGCAGAGGATAATACATGCAAGTGCAGCTTACAAGGGTTTGCACAGGTGTAAAGACTGCCACACTTGTGACATTCAATATGAAATCTGTTGAATATTAAACAACTAAAACGTACATAATTTAAACATTTGCTGAGTAATTAATGACAAACCGACGCCATAAAATAGCTCTGCATTTTCAATCTTTATTTTTCTTTACTTTCAGCCTATATTTTCAATCTTCCAAAACAACAAAATGTCAAGAATGCACAAACATTTGTTGCAATTTGAAGAACCTGTCACATTGTGGTTGAATTAAAACAAGAGATCATTGTTCAGTTGATTACATGTGCACTGTATCACATGAACTTTTTAACAAAAACATTCACAGTGTGTAGAAAAAAAGATTAAAAAGGGAGATCTGGGAATTATTTACACTCTACATATCTGTAAATGAAAATTATTCTCTATCACAGATAAGATCCTCTCTTAAATTGACTAGAACAGCACATATCCTCAGAATTTTGTTAGGAGCCATGCTTATAGGAACAGTTTGTGATAATTTTGAAAACTTTCAAACGTCTGATTGCTCTTTCAACGTGAATTCTTACATTTGCATTAGATTACTCGTCAGATCTCAGCCAAAAATGTGGTTATATTTATGGGGAAAAAAAACATTAAATGTTTCTAAAGCTAAAGCTGTGTACAGCAAAGTGTCTGCGTCATTTTGAAGTCATCACACTGAATCATTTTGTCCTGGAGATCTTTTCTGCGAGACGTGTTGCAATATTGATGATCTTGTTGCGTAGGGTCCTCTCACTGTGTGTGGACTGAGCGCAGATGTGGCTCCGGAAGTTGTGTGGAGATGTTGGCCTGGTCTGGCACAACTGAAGGTGAATCCACAGTGCGCTTTGAATAACACAAAAATACAATCCTTCAAGTTAGCTCTGTTAGCATAACAAAAACTGTACAGTGTCACTTAGCTTATTACATTTTATGAGGGAAATTTCAAGTTCTTCATTCTATTAAACACATGCAAAATCATTAATATCAACAATGCTGTTAGTGGCTTTAGCCCCCAGATATATTCCTAAACCCCCTAAAATTATGTTATAATATTATCAAAATATTGTGATTAGCTTTTATTTTTTTCATTAAAAATAAATCAGTTGGCGCTAGGTTGCATTTAAGCTTTTTCTTATTAACAAGACTTTAAATGGAGTTTTTCTTACAGCTGCAGCTGTTTTAAATAAATAATAAATAAATACATTGTCTAATAACTATGCATATTCTTTATGAACACAAACACCAGACTTTTACAGCCCTGGGGGCTAATCTCCCTCCGTGTTTCAATCCTATTGATGTCCCTGCACAAAACAAAATAGTTTTGCCTGTATTTGAGAAGTGGAGACTTGAATTTTACCTGGTCGCTAAATGAAAAGCAATTCTGAGACAGTTAAATTAAGCCATATACTTCTGCCAGCATGTGACTGGTGTTAATTACCAACCATGGGCTTGTTTTGTCTTTAAAATTTAGACTTGGCTGCTAATGGGGCGGCTGTGGCTGAGTGGTTAGAGCAGTTGTCCTCCAATGCAAAAGTTGGGGGTTCGAATCCACCAGCAGTCGCATACCGAAGTGTCACTGGGCAAGACACTGAACCCTTCATAGCCTCTGATGTGTGTCCCATCAGTGTATGAATGTGATAAAGCTCTGATTAGTCTCATTAGAATGATTTGTTCAATTAGCTTTGTAGAGATCTAGTAGAGTGTTGTACGAATGGGTAAATGAGGACACAGATTGTAGCATAAAGCGCTTTGAGCATCTCAATAAGACAGAAAGGTGCTATATAAGTACAGTCCATTTTACATTTAATAACATACCAACATCCAGACTACGGTAGCACTGGCTACTCTACAGCTAGTGCTGATGCTAACGTCATTCAATGCTATAATTCAATAAAAGCTAAGGACTGAATGATTAAAATGTGAAATGGGGAAAAAAAACACATTTACAATTTCACTCACCGGGAACAGATACTGCCATTTTGTTGAAGTTGCTGGAAGCTGGCTCACAGTGGTCCGGATGAGCAGTCTTCTTTTCTTTGGTGGGGGCCAGTCATAGCCCAGTTAGAGCTCCGGGTCGGGGTGTACCTCTGTAGGCTTTTTATCGATAAAATGAAAGGAGCAAACACAAACTCTTTTTGGGGAGTATTTTTTTTATTTATTTATTTTTCTAAATGGCCTCCCTTCTCCCCTTACAGCCATCCTCTCCACACCATTATTATGAAATATTTATTCTAGTGATTATCTAGTGTAGTTTTTTTTTTTTTTTTTTTTAATAGGATAGAAAGAAAGAAAAGACAAAGTAAGACTCCAAAATATAAGAAATATACACAAAGAGAGCACACGGCAAAACACCCGGCCA